CTGAATAGTATTTATAGTCTATCAAAATTATCATTTTCTTTTCTTAGCTTTCTGAGCAGAAAGATTTATAGTCTTCAACTGATTTATGAAAAAAAAAATAAAACTAAAAAAAATAAAGAGAACAGAACAAAAAGAGAAGAAAAAAAAAATGCTCAAGCAACAAGAAAATAAATAATAATAAAAAAAAACAAATAAAAGAAGAAGAAAAAGACAAAAAAAAAATTAATCTATAAAAGCACTATTATAACTATACTAGGCATAGTTACAAAAATTATATATCTAATTAAATTTAAACAAAACTAAATTTTAAATTTAAAAATCTTGTATATCTCTGTTATAAAGCTAAGCTTTATTATTAGAATTTTCTTCTAACTTTAGTATCCAATCTGGGTCATTTTATTAACCAGGTGCTGATTAGTTCATTATATAGTGTAGGTCATTATTGTCAAAGCAATTCTGTGTTTATATCCTACTTCATCTATTCAAAAATAAAAAAGATAGCCTGTTCGAATTTGGAAAGTAAACAATGCTAATCTTTTGAAGGAGGTAAGCCAAATTCCTACTTTTTTTTTTAAAAAAAAGACAGGAAGGCAGAAAAAAGATATAATAAAAACCACTTAACCAAAAAAAAGAGTGCAGCTTAAAAGATGTCTGTTCTTTACTGTTTCCAGTTATTACACATCATTAGCTTTGTTGACAGAAAGCTTGGACTCTTATTACTTCTACCTATTCACCAAAATTTTATATACAAGAGTATCACCTTTTGCTAGTTATCTTGTATACCAACACTTTTGGCTTGCATGCCGAATATATAAAGAAGTCTCTCTAGAATAGAGAAGGTTGATTTTTATAAAAACCACACTGTTGTCACTTTACTACAGGTTATTACAACTCTTCAGTATAGAAAATAGACTTTTTTTTTGTCAAAAAATTTGGTCCAGATGATCATCAGAAAGAGTTGTTAAAAAATAAAAGATATAGTTTAATAAATTTAGAATAATATATAAAAACAAGTTAAAAATCATTTTAATTTACAAATTTATATAGTTGTTCTCTCCTATAATCACATAGTTGGACACACCCTAATATAGTGATTATAAAAAGGTATGACTTTATAAAAGTACCTCTATATAAGCACAAGTTATAAATAATATTAAAAAAATAATTTAATAAAGGTATTTTAAAAATTTTATATATGTTTGTAGTTAGTTTCTATATAGAAAAGTTCAATTTTTTTTTTTTTTTTTTTAGCTCTTTGATAGTCTTGCCGGAGCTCAAATATAATACTTTATTAAACAACCTCAGATAGAATGAATAATGACAGTATAAAAATTGCAAGCCCGACATCATCCAGCTACATCTAGTGTGCTCAAGAGCGATGTGTTGCACCAACCTACATGTAAGTTAGAAGACCTTGTTAGCCCGCCAAGAGCCTATTCCTTCATCCTTACTTTCTTCACCGAGAGCAAAAGAAAATAATATTCCGTATTCTCAATACTAGAACGTATATCAAGAAGAAAAGGAGCTTTCATACAAAAAAGATACAAAACAAGAAAGAGAAAATAATAAGAAATAAAAATGGGGAAACAGAAAATATAAAAAAAGAAAAAAACAAAGAGATAAGTCCTGACAGGCTGAACAAGAAAAGCTATCTCCCGTAAGAAATAGCAGCTACCTCTATCAAGAAATAGCACAAAAATGAACAAAAAAGAAAAAAGAAAGTGCACTATTATAACCTGTGCCAGGCAAGTATAAAAATTATATAACAAAAACAATATTTGTATATCTCTAATAAAACACTTCACGACTATACGACTGACTCTGGAATATTTGGTTCCGACCTAGAACTCGGGACCTATTCAAATTAGTAGCACCGTATCCGTCGAGCACATGGTTGTAATCTACTCGGCTTTCCGGATTTGAGATGTAAACAATGTCGATCTTTTGGAGGGGGTAAGCCAAATCCCCACTTTTTGAAAAAAATTTTTGAAAAACCGACAGAAGGAAGAAATGCGAAGAGAGAGTTGCAAGTACTTTCAAAATTTTTAAACGAGTGTGTTGAAAGAGCAGAGTTTCTTGTTGTTTCCCCTGTGTTCTTCATTGAAGTAACGACCAAACAGCTTCGTCGACAGAGTTGGGCCTTCCCACCCATACTCCACCAAGATTTTTTATACAAAGGCACTGCCTGCTAGTTATTTTGTATAATAATGCTTCTGGCTTGTATGCCGAATATTTTTCTTTAGAGGAGTTTCTGAGAGTAGTAGTTGATCTCTAGACAAACCACTGTATAGGCCACGACTCTTCAACAAGTAGTTCTAGTTTTTTTTTAGTGGAAAATTTTGGTCCAAGTGATTGTCAGAAAGAGTTGATAATTTAATTAAAAGTTACAATTTTAATAATTAAATCAATTTTTATATAATAAGTAAAGTTGTTTGGAAGAATAAAATACACTTATTTTTAATTTTTATGCAAATCGAATAATTTTTTATTAGTATTGTTTCATATTTTAAGTATCTATGAATAAAGCTATATATTTATAGATATGCTAAATGAAATAAAAAATTATCCAATTTGTATTTTATTCTTTCAAACATCTTTATTTATTGTATAAAAGTTGATTTAATTATTAAAATCATAACTTTTTTATATAGAAACTATCTATAATCACATATAAATGTGATTGTAAAGAAGTAATTTTATTATTAAAATCAGCCAACAAATTTTAAAAAAATATAATAGTGATTATAATATAATTGTGACTATATAAAGGTAGTTTTAATATTTAAAAAACAGAATTATATTTTTGGTGTGATTATATAGAGTTTGTGACTATATAGGAGAACGATTGTATAATAGATAGTTAATGGATAATATACAGTATATTTTTAATAAAATATATAATTTTATTTTCTAGCAAGACTATAAAAAATTGTTCTTGCTATTTTATATACAAATTATAATTTATTTAGCATTTTAGTTAAATGTAAATATTTTTTTTGTAATTGCTATAATTATTAAAAAAGCAAAAGATTATTACTAGTTATAAACTCGTGCATTAATGTACAGAAATAAATTTATAAAATTTTTAAATATAATTTTAAAATAAAATAAATATATAGTAAAACTTTTATAATTATTAGGCTATAAACCCATGCAATATACAAAAAAAATTTAATATAAAATAAAATAAAAATTTAAATCTAAAGCAAATTAATTTAATTGGAAGTTTATGAGTAAGCCAGAGAGTGATAATAGTAAAATGTAACTCAGATTAAGGCGCTGACATTTATTAAGTAATATTTTAAAAGGTGGAGGGTCAAGCAAAACCTTATCTTACAGTATATAAAACAATTATAGCCAATCAAATTTAGCTAAATATCTTATCTAGGGATGGGGTAAGCCTCTATAGTAAAAAAATATTAGATAATAAATGTTAGCACCCTTACTTATAAAAATTAGAGAATTGCGAATATGGCTTGCACAAATCTAAAACTTTTTTTTATACTAAGTTAATTACTCTTCTGACTTAAGAGACTTTTGTAAAGCTTATCAAGACACATCTAATGATAGTTACCGTTGGCTACTGTATACAGTACTTGGGGTCTTATTCAAGAATTTCGTTTTTAAAATTGAATAGTACCCATGGGTATTGTGTGAGAAACTGGGTACTATATTTGGGAGATATATCATATTAATAGTAGTAAATTATTATAGTTATACCCCCAGGCAGTGTTGTTACTCGGACCGGACTTGGACTCAGACAATTAAATTTGTCTGCTAGACAAATATAATCAAACAGCCAATTATATTTTGGTATATTGAAATAAATAAATTTCACTTAATAATGAATTTAACCTGGCCACCAAAATCAATTATTTAGCAAATATCATAGCCCAACAAATACATAACATTAACCCACATTCATTCAAATTATTCAGTAACCTTTATTATCTAACTTCGCATATTAGAGAGTTTTAAAGTTAAACTGCAGAAATCTGATTTTAATTGAAACTTTTGCTTTTATCTATTTTTTTTTTTTACGAAGTATATTATAAAAATTTTCCGATTTCATCTCTAACACTTCCATTTCATTTTCTGATTGAAATACAAATAAGATTTTTCAAACTCGTATTTAATTTCAAAACATGCCACTTATTTATTAACTTTGAATCCATTATAACATGAATTTCAAATTTATTACGTATAAATTAAAAATTTTTTTTTTGTTTATCTTATAATAAGATTTTCGAGAAGGTTAAACACCTTTATAAAAGTAGTACCAATATTAAATACTTCTATTTATTATGCTGTATTAATTCAATAAAAAGCTAATCTCAAAGATTTTTTTTTTATATTTCTAATTAGTTTCATCATTTGTTCGTCGTTCATCTTCTGCAATATTATTATTGTCAAGAATCATTAATATGCAAAATTTCTCACATAAGATTTTTCTCAGCTTCTTCAATTAATAGGTAATATGAACATGAAGAAAGAGGTTATTACCTTTGATAATTGGCAATTAATATCATAAATATTTTCCTACATGTTTGTACTTTTTCTCATATTAACTACCGGGCCAAACTCTACACACAGTGCTCTTTCTTATGATGACATCAGAACAAAGAACATAATACTCAGAAGCTCGAAGAAAATAGTTGATAAAATCAATTATCTGATCAGAAAAAAAAAAGACAGACATAGTTACACTAAATCTAATGATAATTAGCTTTGTAAAACAATAACATCTTTGTGCAACTTGCATACATTTTATTTATAATAATAAAAAAATATAAATTGTTGCATTACCCACTAATCCATTTTTTCAAATTTTTGAAAATTTTTTTATTAAGTTCTAATTGTACCAATTGTACAATATACGTACGCATGTTCTGTCAAAAATAATAGACAAATATAAAAGTATCATAACACAACAAAATCACATTTAATTGAATAAAATAGAATTATAGCAATTTTAAATCATTAAAAAGTGTGCCCAAATTCTACTTAGTATTCGAATCAACTGCTGGATGAACAGTATAATTAATTTCTAAAATTTTTTTATTCTTATTTTCTATGTCCGCCAATTTCTCAGTCTCATTCGTTATTATTTCTACTCATACATCTAAAAACCTTTCGAATTTCGTCACCAAAGAACTTGAATCCATTACTTCTTCTTCTTCATCAAAGCCTTCAATTGAGGTATAGTTATCACTTGCTTTCTCAGATTTTTTAGGTTCAGGTTCAGTTTCGATTTCTGGTTCATTTCTGGATTCAACCTCGGGTTTAATTTCACAAGGCTCATTATCTTTGTTAATTTGATCTTGTATGTTTTCTTTATAAAAACTTGGTGAAGGTAATTCAGTAAAATATGATTTTTGTCGATGGCTTCATGTTATTTCTGCCCTTAATTTAGACATATCAAGTGCTTTTCATGACTAAGAATAAAATTAAATTATATAAATAGTGTAATAAAAAAAAAAAGGTTATTGTTATCCTTGATTTTTCCAAACTCCAGGCTTAAATTTAAAATCGGATTAATATTAGACTATACAAACTTAATAAATTAGTTCTTATAACCCAGAAAGGTCAAATTCTGCAAATTTTTTTTAAAAAATTTGACTAAATTTGCTATCCGAGTTAGATGTTTATAAAAAAAAAAAATCAAATACCAGAGCATTTTTAGATTGAGAGAATCAAAAAATTAACTTCGTATAGCTTGAAATATGTAAACTGATTATTAATCAATTACAATCAGGTGATCTATTATAAAATTTACTATTATATAATAATGATATAAGAACTTATAAAATATATATATATTACTATTAATTGATTTCTTTGATTCGTTTGCATGAATCCTATGCAGCTCCAAAGACGTTCAACGGTAGCTGCATTTACACAAATCCCATATAGTTGACAAGCTACTAACCCAATTTCTTTGTTGAAGCTGTAGCGAAAGTCCAATATTCCAAAATATTATCAAAATGGTCATATATATTATCATCGAATAGATAAATCTTCGTTGAAAAATTATTAAATTCACGTAAAATATAGTTGGGCTTTTTTCCTAACTAGGCTCTATAATAATAAATTAAATATCTTCCTAGCCATACATAATTTATTGATTTATTTCTAAAATAGGACAATCGGTATTTTGAATATAACAAGCATGATAGGATCAAAAGCGGTTGTTCCCAGCTACTCCATCTTTTGTCTAATCAGGTTAAAATTCTGTTAGCTAGTTGTTAATCTATATAATTATTTCAAAATTGGACAAATATGCGAAGCCATGCATTATATGAATTAATCTAGCATTATTACGTTGTAAAATATTCAATATTTTACAGTAAGGATACAAAACTTCAGCGATCGTTATCAAGTTTTCACAAAAGTTACTAGAATCAATAATTTTGAAGATATCTCGATTTATAGTTAGATTTTCTCCAGTTTGTCGCCGAGTTTGGACAAGTGGTGGTTGGTAGTTAATTGTGAGGACCTAAAATTGTAAATTTTTTATTATACAATAAATATATTTTTATTTAAATAGAAATACTAAAAATAATTCTTTTTTAAAAAAATTTTATATTGGTACCTTCAATGCTTGTTGACTTTTCAAAAGACTGATCGCCACCATATAATAACTATTCCAACGAGTTTCTGCTAGAACTGCGATCCCATAATACTTATTATAAGTTAGCTTTTGTTGATTACGCAACTTTTCAATAAAGTACTTGTTATTGGGATTCTTAAAATATGCTGTTATAGAACGAATTTATTATTAGTTTATTATTTTATTATTTATTAATTATCTTAGAATATTATTATTATCTTGT